AATTGTAGACTGTATGTTTTGTTTATAATTGTACATGAATACAGCAGGCAATTAGTGTTAGGGCAGGAATGTTCCCCCAAATAGCCATGAAGTGAATGACAATTTCATTTTATCTAGACAATTGTTGGCCAGGACTTCTCTTTTTGATCAGTATCATGGGATCTTTTAAAATCCACCTGAACCAAAAGATGGGGCCTCAGGTTGAAACCTTTTTCGAAGGACCAAACCTCTAACAAAACCGCATTCTCCTGGAACTACAGTGAAGCATTGATCCAATAAATTATGAGCTCAAAAGTCCTGATATCGAGATTAAACCTACAACCTGTTACTTCTGGCGATTAGGTGAGCAACAACAAATGCATTTATATAGCGCCCATCATGCAGGTTAGCGACTCAGAACGCCTGACAGTGGTGCAGCACCCAAACGGGGGGAGGTGACCATAGGCACGGTCGAAGACGAAAGTCTTCAGGCGCGATCTGAAGTCGGGAAAGGAAGGGCCATAGCCGAAGAGTGTTACAGAGTTTTGAGGCGTAGTTGCTGAAAGCACAGCCACAGACGGTGGAACAGAGGGAGGGCACAAGGGACATGCAGGAGGCTGGAGCCAGTCGAGCGGAGGCAGCAGATAGTGGGTTGGGAATTAAGCAGGTCTGAGAGGTAGGGAGGTCCCGGGGCATGAAGGGATTTGAAAATGAGCGTGAGGATCTTGAAATCAATTCATTCGGCGAAAGGGAGCCAGCGGAGCCTGGCTAGAACTGGTGTGATGGCGAGTGTGTGGGCGCGGAGCTTTAGATCAGCTGGATCTTGTGCCTGGTGGAGCTGGGGAGACCAGCGAAGAGAGCAATTGAAAAGTCGAGTCGGGAGGTGACGAATGCATGGATGAGCAGGGTGTGTCTCCCTGGGAAGAGAGCGTGCAGTTCATACCAGGCAAATATAAATTTCCATACATGTGTGGAACAATCAGTAGTTTGGTTTGGTTACTCTTAAGCATGGCGATGGGTCTGACCACATGAAAGTTAACTGCTATCCTCAGTCATTTTCAGTTTGAGTGGGAATCAAGTACATCTGGCTCCCCAGGCCACTGTGCTAAACGACAAAATATTATGTCTTTTCCACAGCATTAGATACACAGCTAGAAAAACAAAAATAAGCACTTTATTATTAAAAACAAGTGATTAGTTACTGGGTTGTATTATTCAAATAAATTGTTGAAAGAAAATATTTTATTCCAGAGTAATCTCTGAAGTACAGTAACTGTTTGTATAGAGTATACGGGTAACTTTTAAATCATATCAATGGACAGTCATGAAACATTTTCATTCCAGTTATGAAGCAAAGCTGACAAAAACAGTCACTACACTTTACAGTGTATCCTAAGACTTCTTGATGACGTAAAGCGGCGCTATATCAAATGCAGGGCAGAAATATTCTTCTAACAGGTCTTTCTTAAGAATATGCAAAGAAATCCAATTTAGTTTAACCTAAATAAATAATGATTGTAGTGAAACGTAATTCAAGTGCTGTGATTTTATAGTGTAATTCGTATTGTTCTTTTACCACTGCGCTGATTTAATTACATTTTACTGAATTTTATCAGGGAACAGCAATAGCTATGTAATGTATTAAGGTTCGACACAAGCACAACATGTCTATTTTTAAGTATCAATAGACTCCACAAATGTTAAATTAAAAAGAGAAATGATAGTACTCCACAGTGGTTCTGTATGTCCCGGACAACATTCCTCCACATAAACGTTGGTCATTCACTTCCTGGCTGTTTGTGGGACACTGTTGTGTGTAAATTGTTTGCCACATTCACTTACAAATTACAGTCACTTGATAGAATCTTTGTAAAGAGTTTTGAAGCGTTTGAAGTCATAAGTGCTATATTTAATGAATAATGTATGTGTAGGTCTCTCTTTTGTGAAAAAAAATTATAAAAGCAGTTCTGAAACAGATCATTGGCTAATTCCTAAGAGATATTGGCAGAAAAATTCTTCTTTCTTAAGAATATGCAAAGAAACGCAATTAATAATACACTAATAATGCACATTATTAGTGCAATGAAACATTATGTCTCGATTTCAGTTAGCGTCCAAGAAACCTAGGATTTCTTATGGCTGTCTGAATCACACTCCTTTTATTTGAGGATTTAATTGGATCCTTTTCCACCAAGAAAAAAATACGCGATTGTTTTCAATCAGGCAGCAATTGTTCTGCAGTGATGTACTGTTGACACTAGGTGGTGCAATAAACTTTTACATTAATAAGTTACAGCACTGCAGTTTATAATTGCAGGCAATAGAGATACTATCTGGGCGTCCAGCATTACGTGGTATTACTGAATACAATAAAGTACAGGTCACTAGGCTCATACAAGGGACACCCTAAAATTAATACCGCCTTTCTATTCCCTCAAAGTTCTTTGTTAACTTACAGAACTAACAAAGGCACAAATCAAGCTTTCTTAAAATACACCAGTGCAGTTATTTTCCACAGAGTCATCGTGATGTTCCACACATTTGCGGAACCAGTGTCAGTATTCCGTTACGGTAAAATGATGTGCAAATGGCCTTTCCGGTTTCCCTGTGAAATACGGTTAACAGTCATGGAACCCACCAAGCACAAACGTCAGAATAACCGAGGATATCAATAATAATCCTTGCATTTGATACAGCACCTTATCATCGAGACGTCTCAAAGCGCTTCATAGAATATACTGTCACGTGAATTGACTATATATTTTGTGGGCGAAACGTGGCAGCCAATTGTGCACAGTCGTGGATTGAAGTGACCAATTTATTGTTTTTTGAAAAAAAAGTAATTATTACCCCCAGAAAAGCAATCCGCCAATCGACTAACAACCAGGTTCCTACTTACTGCCAGGTAAACAGAAGCGTGCAGAGTAAGGAAACTTCTTTTTGATCGGGCTTATGGTCACCTGGTCCTCACATACAAAGCCCTCCATGGCCTCGCCCCAACCTACCTTTGTGACCTCCTAACCCCCTACCAACCCGCCCGCTCCCTCCGCTCAGCCGGCTCTGTCCTGCTCCACGTTCCCCAACCCACCCGTCCCACCACTGGCGGGAGAGCCTTCAGCCACTCTGCCCCCAACCTCTGGAATTCCATCCCCCAATCACTCCGCCTCACCCCCTCCTTAGCCTCCTTCAAGTCCCGCCTCAAAACCCTCCTCTTCGACCACACCATCGGTCATCCCTCTTCCCCTCCCCGACCCCGGCTCGGGTCTGAAATGCTGTACACTGTCCAGCGCCTCGGGACATCCTCCCGACGTGAAAGGCGCTGCACAAATGTAATCTTGTTGTTGTTGCTAGTGATTACAGCACTTGCCTCGCAAGCGAGAGGACCTGGGTTCGATTCCCGGCAGTGCAAAACGTTGCGCAAGTTTCCTTACTCCACGCTCCTGTTTGCCGAGCAGTAAGTAGGAACCCGGTTGTCAGTCAACTGGTGGATCGGGATAATAATCCTTCAAGAAAAAAATATTTGGTCACTCAATCCACAACTGTTTGTGGGACACGCACTGCTGTGCCCAACTGGCTCAAAGGCAAGTAAATGGGAGTTGAGGTACAGATCAGCCATAATCTAATAGAATGGCGAACTGGCTCAAGGGGCTGAATGGCCTACTTCTTTTCCTATGACCAGTTCCTATGTTATAATAATAATAATAATAATCCTTGCACTTAACATAGCGCCTCCGAGATGCCTTAAAGTGCTTCACTGAACATACGACAAAGCGAACCGCGACCGCGTGTTTTACGGCCGAAACGCGGCAGCCCAATGGCGCGCAGTCGTGGATCGAAGGGACCCGATTCGATTTATTTTATTTTTAAAAAGAGAAGAAAGGACGCATCAGCCCCCCCCCCCCACCACACCCCACCCCACCCCGGGAAAAGCGATCCGCCAATCGACCAACAACCCGGGCTGCCGGCTTACCGCTTGGGGTAAACAGAAGAGGCGCGTGTGAAAAGAAAAGGGAGTAAAGGAAACTTGCCCACCTTTTCGCCCCGGGCCCCCTGGCCCCCTGCGCCCCCCCCCGGCCCCCTGCGCCCCCCCCCGGCCCCCTGCGCCCCCCGGCCCCCTTGGCCACGGACTCCTGTGGCCCCCAGCCCCGGGTATCGAACCGGGGGACCTCTCGCTTGCAAGGCGAGCGCTCTGACCACTGAGGGGTGAGTCCCCCCCCCCCACCACGTGCTCCCCCCACCCCCACCCACGTGCTTCCCCCACCCACGTGCTCCCCCACCCCCACCCACGTGCTCCCCCCACCCCCACCCACGTGCTCCCCCATCAGTACCGTTGGGTTGCATGGCTGAATCCTGGGGCACGTGTTACTAACTGGGGTGGGGGGGGGGGGGAGTGTGTGTGTTGTATGTGTGGGGGGGGGGGAGGGGGGGTACACGCGCCTCTGACGCGCGACGACGCGACGTCACCAACGGGTTGAAGAGGGGATTCAAATCTTTTTGAAACACAACGGTCGGTGAGAAGTTCCGAAACCAACTGCAACGCGAAGGTCAGACAACCTCAGGCTCTCTGACTCTCTCTACTCATCACTTCCAGGGCCACGGCTTCCTCTGCATTGTTTGTTTTTCTCTCTCTCTCTTTCTTAATAAATCAATCAATCAATCAATCAATAGTTTTGATTAAATTAACGAATGAATTAAAAACGACAGCTTCAAAAGCTGATCGCTTCGAACGAACGTTTTGAAGTCGTGTCAGTGTTTCGGGGGCTGTTTTTTTTTCAAATATATATATATATCTGTATGTATATATGTATAATTCAACTCGATTCAAATAAAAAAAAATAACCGATTAAATAAGTCAATTAAAAAAAAACTGAATGAAAAAGAGCGGCTGCGTATGGGGGTGCGGGGAGGGGTGGGGTGAGGGGGGGGGGGTACTGTATCGAGCACCCCAACCCCACCGGGGGGAGAGGAGAGGAGGGTATTATACCGGGGGGTGCTGTACCGGGAGGGGAGGAGGGGGTTACCTGGGTCCTGGTCTCTCGCCGCCGATCTTCCGTCCCGACCCGTTCAGCGTCGGTCTGGTGCTCACTGGGCTCTGCTCTGCTCTCCCCTCCCCCCCCCCGGGGCGGGCGGCACATTCGCCAAAGCCCAAAAGGCTCCCTCCCCAGGGCCGGCGCGAATCTGCCGATTGCAATCGGTCCGCTGCTTTGGACTGCGCCGTCTCCGTGGCAACCGGGCAACGCCGGAAGTGAAGCACGTGGAGGAGAAGGAGGCTGGTCAGGGAGCGGGTGGGGGCCTCAGTGGGCGTGAGAGGCTGTCTGTGAGCGTGTGAGACCCTCAGTGAGTGTGAGAGGCTGTCTGTGAGCGTGTGAGAGGCTGTCTGTGAGTGTGCGACCTGTCAGTGAGTGTGTGTGTGAGACCTGTCAGTGAGTGTGTGTGTGAGACCTGTCAGTGAGTGTGTGTGTGAGACCTGTCAGTGAGTGTGTGTGTGTGACCTGTCAGTGTGTGTGTGAGACCTGTCAGTAAGTGTGTGTGTGTGTGAGACCTGTCAGTGAGTGTCTGTGTGTGTGAGACCTGTCAGTGAGTGTCTGTGTGTGTGAGACCTGTCAGTGAGTGAGTGTCTGTCTGTGTGTGAGACCTGTCAGTGAGTGTCTGTGTATGTGTGAGACCTGTCAGTGAGTGTCTGTGTGTGTGTGAGACCTGTCAGTGAGTGTCTGTGTGTGTGTGTGAGACCTGTCAGTGAGTGTGTGTGTGAGACTGTTGGTTAATGTGAGAGGGACTATCAGTGAGCGTGGCAGACTCAGTGAGCGTGAAAGAGACCCTCAGTGATTTTGGGACAGACCTTCAGTGAGTATGAGATAATGTCACCTAGGCTGAGAGATGCTCAGTGAGTGTAAGAAATTGTCTGTGAGTGTGAGATGCTGTCAGTGAGATTGAGAGATTGTCGGTGAGTGTGAGAGAAAGAGAAGGTGACTGGCAATGTCCACGAGAAAGAGAATATAAGCGATAGAGGACTGTCAGCAGGAGAGACGTTCAGCGAAAGAAAATCAGCGATAGAGGCAGAGACAGAGAGAAAAAGACCGACTGAGAGAGAATTGCAGTGTTACAGAAGCTGACAGAAAGAGAGGGGCAATGCTTGACAGGAAAGCTATCACTGAGATGCACTAGTGATGTAAGAAATGGTGGAAAAGACAGCTAGGATTCAGCAAGCGAATAAAAGTGAGTGATCATGAAAGTGAGAGAGAAACTGTCAGTAAGCCAGGGAAAGTGGGGCGCTGAGATGCTGGTAGTGAGTGGGAGAGTGATCATGAATTGACAAGAGACTAGCAATGAGCGAGAAAATGATTAACAGTCGACAAGAGACTGGACGTGAGGGAAAGAGGCTGTTATTGAAAGAGATGAAGCAAGCAAAATATTCTTCCAATAAACTAGAAAGAAGCTGGCAGTGGCAGAAAGACATATATACACTGTATATATAAAATATATATATTTGGATTTGAGGTACAAATCAGCCAGAATCTAATAGAATACCAGAATAGGCTTGAGGGGCTGAATGGCCTATTTATGTTCCTATATACACACATACTGAGATGCCTGAGAGAAACTAACAGTGAAATAAACTAGCATCAGAGAGAATGACAGTGAAAGAGAGTGAGGAGGAGACATTGGCAGTGAAGAATAGCAGTAAGGGTTAGAGAGTTAGTGAGGGAAAGTAGAAGAGAGACTTACTGAAGGATGTTTTGGTACTGAGAAATAATAGAGACCGCGAGTGACGGAGATACTGAGGAAGGGGGGGGGGAGAATAGCAGTAAGGAAGAGAGACTGAAGAAGAGAAACAGAAAGAGAAAACAGTGAGGTAGAGGAAACAGTACTGAAGGAGAGAGAGACTGAGGGCGAGGGAAATAGCAGTGAGGGAAAGGGACTGAGGGGAGGGAAATAGCGGTGAGGGAAAGCGACTGAGGGGAGGGAAATAGCGGTGAGAAAGACGGGTTATGAGAGAGTTCGCCCACAAATATAGTCATTCCACTTCACAGTAAATCCTGTGAAGCGCTTTGGGACGTGCTCCTAACATGAGAGGCGCTATACTAAATGTAAGGATTAATTATTAAAGAAGCAAAGGGCAGATAATGGGTGAAAGAGCGCAATTCTTTGAGAGAGAATGCATTGGCAGTAAGCGAAAGTGAGACTGATCTCTCAAAATTATTCTTTTTATATAAAAAAAAGAAATCCATAGACAGTCTTGCTGATGTGCAATCAAGGTGGTGGTGTGTGTGTGTGTGTGGGGGGGGAATTAGCAGTAGTTTGTTGTATTTTTTTGTCATCAATAAACAAAGACGATTTGTAATGAAAGATTATTCTGTTTAAAACGAGCTGGTGTGCGAGGCATTCACTAATCTTTGGCAACTCCATTCTGAACAGGGCTATGTATGTAAGATGACAGGCAGTAGCGATGAGGCTCTTTCACATCATCTGCCCGCCAAAACCGAATGAAGCCACTCTCATTTCAGAAGCACAGCCGCTTATACTTTCTGCATTTTATTACACAAAAGATTCAGATCGACCAGTTTGACGTCGGTACTTCACACAGGTGGAACCCGGGGTTTTCTAACTTATATACAACCCGAACAAACGATTGGGCCCCTTCCCCCATCACGTCGCCTCAGTTACCTCCATTTCCCCCTCTCTCCCTCCCTCCCTCCCTCCCATGAATGATCCAGCCATGTGGCAAATCATGGGGGAAGAATCGCTGCATTTCACCATTGAGTGGCAGTGTGCACCATTGAAGATCCCCACCAACCATCCTCCTCCCCCCAAAAAAAATACACAAATAGAAGTATAATGCATATATATATATAGAGAGAGAGAGAGGGAGAGAGAGCACCTATGGTCCGCTGGTAAATGATTCCTATCAGATATCATCACTGTCGACATGTTTCTCGCATCTCTGCAGTCGTGAAGTCAATTGCTCTGCGAAACGGTACGAGTCCAAACGTTTGGAGAGTAAGTCCAAGTAATTAAATCACAGTATGTGGAGCCGAGCACTTGCTGTGTTGTCTGAGCACCTTCTGAACTCGACCTGGGACCTGGGACCTGGCTCTGGGGGGGGTTCAAATTCATCCACACACACACACAAATTCATCCACACACACACACACACACACAAATTCATCCACCGCACACACTCTCGCTCCTGCTGGGGGGGGGGGGGGGTGGAAGGGATACGAACCTTTTTATATTATATATATATCTATATATATATATCTATTCGCTGCTGCGACCATTGCAAACCGCGCACAGTGATGTCGCCGACTCAGATCAAGGGCATTAAAGTTCAAAGACAGGGGTGGGGGGGGGGGGGGGTTGGGGTGGGGGGTCTTTTGACTCGGCCCCGATCCTTCCACCGCCCCTCTCTCTCTCTCTCTCTCCCCCTCCCAACACACACACACACGCCTTGAGGAGAGGGGGGGGGGGGGGGGAGAGAGGTTTTGAGTCAGAGAGCAGAGCAGAGCAGAGGGGGTGTCAGTCAGTCAGTCAGTGCAGAGGAGGTGATTCCGGCTGAAGAGGAGCGAAGAGGAGCCAATGGCTGAGCGCTGAGAGAGTGGCGGCCAATGGGCTGCGAGGCCCGCGGGCCGCGCGGCAATTTCCACTGAGTTACACTGTATCCCGAGGAGGAGCGCAGTCACCGAAAAGGGGATCGATCTCCCGCGGACCCGACCCCGACCCCCCGTCTCATTCACAAACTGCTGCCTCCTCTGCGAGCCGGACTGCTGCAGGCACTGGGACACACACTCACACTCACACACACTGAGACAGACACACACACACACTGAGACAGACACACACACACACACACTGAGACACACACACACACACTGAGACACACACACACACACACTGAGACAGACACACACACACAGAGACACACACACACACTGAGACAGACACACACACACACTGAGACACACACACACACACACACACTGAGACAGACACAGAGACACACACACAGAGACACACTGAGACACACACACACTGAGACAGACACAGACACACACACACTGAGACAGACACACACAGACACACTGAGACAGACACACACACTCAGAGACAGACACACACACACTCAGACACACACACACTCAGACAGACACACACACACACACACACACAGAGACAGCCTTTTAAGCTGTTTCTTGCACCCAATGCGATTTTTTTTTAAAAAACTTGCATTTTTTTTGTTAACAGCGCACACACAAAAAAAGGACTGCGAGGACATTTGAATCTCATCACCTTGTGTGTGTGTGTGTGTGTGTGTGTGTATGTGGGTGGAGGATAGAGAGGTTGGATAGACAGACAGTCAGACAGACAGTCAGACAGATAGATCTTGGGTGTGTGTTTTTTTTGGGGGGTCGTTTCATGAGTGCAATTTTTTTGGAAGTATATTAAGTGCCCCCCCAAAAAAAAATAGCCGAATATGGCTCCTGCTGTCAACCTTAGGCAGGTCCTGGTGGAAATCCCAAACCCTCAGCCTAAAATCGCCGGTGAGTAAGATTTTAAAAAATCTTTTAAAAATTTTATTTAAAAAAAAATAAGACGCGGAAAAAAAGAAGGCGCTCAACTGAGACTGAGACGAGGCGATGGGGGAGGAGGAGGGGGAGGGGGGGAGGGGGGAGGTGAAATGTGGGGGGAACTCGTTTGCTGAGGTTTTAAAACTTATGCAGCGAAATGCAAAACGTATGGTTTCGGGAGCGTTGCGTCCTGTGTGGGGGTTCAGTCCCGTTCGTCTGCGTTTATTGTGCGAGAAAAAAAAGTGCAATGGAAGGGGTTGCAAAACGGTGCGTTTCTCTGGCCATGGTCTTGGCGGGCGGATGGGAGAGCGCTTCTTTTTTTTTTTGCCCAATCGCTCGGTTTATTCAATGAAAAATATTGTATTTGCAACCCACTGTTTCCCAAAAAAAAAATAACCAAGAGTTGAAAATAATCGCAGATGACATTCGAATAGATGTGATGTGCACACAGTGCTTTTAAAAGCAATGGGATCAGGTTGTTAACTTGCAACTGGGATGACTGGGGGGGAGGGGGGGAGGGGGTGGGGGGTAAGTAAGGCGCCAACACTGAGTCAGCAATGAAAGGGTTTATCTCTCTCTCTTTTTTTTTAATTAAACCATTCGTGATTTTCCGAAAAGGTGCGCAAATATTTGTGCTCGTGGATTTGTTGAACCCACTTGGGGGCTTCGCTAACCTATTGCTGTCATTGCAACGATGTCCACTGAGCAATAGTAAAGCATATTCCAACGGGGTATATAAAAGCACAACCGGTGAACGATCTGTGTGCTTTTTGAAGGAGAAAATTAAAGGGGGGGAAACAAAGGGATTTTTTTAGTGTGTGTGATTGCACTATGGCTTTTTAACCATATGGATCCAATGTTAATCCTAACCCTTGATGCAAAAATGTGCACGTAAAAATGTACGTGTGACCCTTTGGAGTAGGATGACAACTCATCCTACAACTCATCCTACTGACCCGTTCTGTATGATGAGTGGTGTGTGTGTGTGTGTGTCTGTGTGTGTGTAAAAAAATAATATTGTAAATGAAACTTGCCGAATAGCATTGAAAAAATGGACTCGAGAAGGGAGTTGCAAAATGAGTAAAGGCCAAGAGCCACCCTCTCACCACCCAATGGGTGCTGCTTTACACACTGTGAAACAAAGTTACTTAGGCAAAACTATATTGCTTGATGGTACACCGTGAACGTCTTTTTTTTTTGCACAAACTTTGTTAAGATAGATTCATTATTGGAAATAATATCTTGGGATGCATTTTATACATTTGTGGAGTCCTGTGGCTCAGTGGTTAGAGCGCTCGCTTTGCAAGCGAGAGACCCGAGTTCAATTCCAGGCAGGTCGGGGCGAAACCTTGGGCAAGTTTCCTTACTCCACACAGAGCCTAATAATAATCCCTCCAAAAACCAAAAACCAATAATAAATTGGTCATTTTCAATCTACGACTGTTTGTGGGACATTGCTGTGCGCAATTGGCTGCCGCGTTCGCCCACACATGTACAGTCAATTCACTTCACAGTGTGTTCTGTGAAGCGCTTTGGGACGTCCTCCCGACGTGAAAAGCGCTATATCAAATGTAAGGATTATTATTATTATTATAGATTAGGACATTATATGTGCATGTGATTGCCATGATGGCGGAAGGCAAACTGGATGGAACTTGGGTCTTCTTTCATCTAGCAATTTTTATGTTCTTATGCTAAGGAATTGTGTTCCTTTTCTGTAATTTAACCTTGTTTTGGTTAACCTCCCAGGATGGAAAAAGTTGATGCACTCCTATTGTAGGGCCTTGGCTGGTCTTTGAATATTGCTTGTTCAGAAAAGTGACAGCAAATCACTTTGGATGGGCACTCCAGTGTACATGCAGTTGAGGTCGCCTTATACATTTATTTGTTTTATCTTTCAGTTCATCTGCGGAGGTCCTATGAAGATATTCTGAATTCTACAAGAACAGCGCCTCCATTATCATCCCTTCGTGTCAATATTCCAACATCTTACCTGAGAAGGGAGAGTATCCCATCAAATGACCACCAGCTGGTTCCAAATCTTGAAGTTGCAACACCAGGTATGTATTTTTTTTGCAGGGTATACGTCACCTATTTTAATTTTTCTTCAGCAATTGACAAATCAGCCATAGTTGATGGTTTTATCAAACTGCTTCAACCTGTCACCAATACCATGTCACAAAAAGAATTGCAACAGCAATATAAGAACAACAATTTGCATTTACAGAGTGCCCTTCACTCAGGCAGCGTCTTGGAGAACATAACATCAATATACAGAGCCTTCAACTGTTTCTTTTCTCTCCTTTTTCTTCTCTTTCCCATCCATAACACAGAACAGCTGAGAAGGGGACTTCAGCAAATTTGTATTTGGTCAGTTTGTGGTACTGTGTGTGAGACCATGGAGAAATCCTATCACAAGTCCCTTAAATCGCAAACGCAGATCAGTTTGAATGCAAGAAAGCATGAAAGGATAAGCCTTCAGGAGCATCAAGCTCATTTCTGTAATGCATAACTTCGTCTGTTATGGATTCTACAACAACAACAACAAAATTACATTTATAGAGCGTCTTTCACAATCTGAGGACGTCCCAAAGCGCTGAACAGTCAGGTGTCGGGGCCCGAGCATGGGGGAGGGGTGGTGTTGGGGTGAGGGAAGACAGAGAGGTGGGAGGGCAACCAAAGGCACAATCGAAGAGAAGGGTCTTGAGACCGGCCTTGAAAGAGGCAAGGGAGGAAGCGAGGCGAAGGGACCGTGGAATGGAGTTCCAGAGTGTGGGGGCAGAGAGGCTGAAAGCCCGGCCACCGATGGGAGACATGGAGCAGGCCGGAGCCCGCTGAACGGAGGGAGCGGGCAGGTTGGTAGGGAGTCAGCAGGTCAGAGAGGTAGGAGGGGGCAAGGCCATGGATGGCCTTGAAAGTGATGGCGAGGATCTTGTAACTCGATCCTCTGGGGGATGGGGAGCCAGTGGAGTTGGGTGAGGGTGGCAATGATGGGGTCACGGAGCCTGGTGTGCGTGAGTACATGAGCTGCAGAGTTTTGGATGATCTGCAGCTTGTGAAGGGAAGAGTTGGGAAGGCCGATGAGGACGGAGTTTCCGTAATCGACCCTTGATGTGACGAATGCGTGGGTGAGGGTTTCAGCAGCCCGAGGGATACAATTATTTAATCTGCTGCGAGAAAAGCTCTCATAAGAGAAGTGAGTTTCTCCCGGTGTCCTGGCCAATAATCCCCCAAATAAAATTGATCATTCACTTCATAGCCGTTTATGGGACATTGCTGTATCCAAATTGGCTGCCACATTCGCCTACACGATGCACAGCGTATCGTGTAAAATGCTTTGAGACACCGTCGTTACGTGATAGGTTCTATATTAAATGCAGGGATTATTGTTGCTGTTTTATTATAACAATGTTTTTCTGGCTCGCACGGTAGTAAATCAAAATCAAACTTGCATGCATAAACACTTACATATCCATGTGTAAAGTGTGTGTATACATTATTTATATATATACATATGTATATTTCTGTATCAATATGCTCCCTCTTGGTGACATCATTCGCAGATATGGGGTCAACTTCCACATGTATGTGGAGGACACCCAACTCTACCTTTGCTATCCTGACAGAATGTCTGTCAGACATCAAGTCCTGGATAAGAGCTAACTTTCTTCAGTTGAACGTCTACAAGGCCCTCCTGATTGGCTCCACACCTCAAACGCTGACAACATCACCATCCATGGATGCACACTCCACCTTACTAAGCCAGTTCAGAACCTTAGCGTCTTGTTTGACACTCAACCATCCTTTCTACCCTAATAATAATAATAATCCTTGATATAGCGCTTTTCACGTCGGGAGGACGTCCCAAAGCGCTTCACAGAACACACTGTAAAGTGAATTGACTGTATATTTGTGGGCGAACGCGGCAGCCAATTGCGCACAGCAATGTCCCACAAACAGTCGTGGATTGAAAATGACCAATTTATTATTGTTTTGTTTTTTGGAGGGATTATTATTATTATTACCCTACATCTGTGCCATGACCCACTCTGCCTTCCCCCACCTCTGCAACATTGCCCGGTTCCACCACTGTCTCACACCGAAGGCCGTCGAAACCCTCATACATGCTTTCATAACATCCAGGCTTGACTTATGCAAACTCCCTGCTTGTCGGTCTCCCCAACTAATCCCTCTATAGGCTGCAGATCATCCAGAACCCTGCAGCCTGTGTCCTTTCCCACACCAGTCTCTGACATTACTACTCCCATCCTCGCCCAATTTCACTGGCGTCCCATCACACAGAGGATACAGTTCAAGATTCTGGCCCTCGCCTTCAAAGTCCTCCATGGTCTTGCTCCCCCCTACCTCTCTGACCTCCTAATCCCCAACCAACCTGCCCGCTCCCTCCTCTCAGTAGGCTTCGGCCTGCTTCACGTCCTCCGCCTCACTCGCCCCACTATTGGCGAGCGGGCCTTCAGCCACCCTGCCCCCACCTTCTGGATCTCCATCCCACAGTCCCTCCACCTTGCCCGCTCCCTTGCCTCCATCAAGACCCATTTCAAGGCTCTCCTCTTTGACCGTGCCTTCGGTCACCCTCCTTCACCCCACCTGCCCTCCACCCTCCCCGATCCCGACCCCCAGCTCGGGTCCGAAACACATGCACTGCACAATATGCTGTACAGCTCTTTGGAGAGTTGAACAGAGGTGGGTTGTTTGTCGATAGGTGGCACTGGAGTACAAGTAGGAGGAATTCATACAGTCAAAATTTCAAAAGTGAATGATTTGAAGAATTGGTCAAAGAACCTGATGCTTTATCGTGTAGGAAATATATTTTGCTTAGTTCAGGCTTACTTGTCTAGCACCCAGAAGCAGCCTTTTATCTCAATCTAATGTATAGTCAATTGAATCGAATTTAAAGCAATTTTGACTGTGATTGGATCAAAAAGTTGCCCATGGACTCTGCAGCCTCTTGCAGAATCAGCATTTAACTTGTTTCCCCCGAAAAGATTCCTCCAATTGTAAAACGATTGGGGTGAAAAACACATGTGTTGAACCTTTAAGTGATCTGATATCTAGGTGACAGCTTGGTTTGCAAGATGGAACCCTTAACAATTTTTTTTAAGTAATAATAATAATTTGGTCACTCAATCCACAACTGTTTGTGGGACACTGCTGTGCATAAGAACATAAGAATTAGGAGCAGGAGTAGGTCATTCGGCCCCTCGAGCCTGCCCCGCCATTCGATAAGATCATGGCTGATCTTCTGACCTAACTCTTAATTACCTGCCCTATACCCATATCCCCTAATCCCTCTGTTTTTGAAAAATCTATCAGTCTCAACCTTGAAGATGTTCAAGGACTGAGTATCTACAGCCTTCTGGGGTAGTGAATTCCATAAATTCACTACCCTCTGAGTGAAGAAATGTTTCCTCAACTCTGTTCTGAAAGGCTGACCCTTAATTTTAAGACTGTGACCCCTGGTTATAGATTCTCCTACCAGGGGAAACAGACCCTCAGTGTCTACTTTATCCAGCCCTTTAAGAATCTTATAATTCTTCTGTACTCTAGAGAATATAGCCCTAGTTTATTCAGCCTATCCTCATAGGTCAGTCCCCTCATCCCAGGAACCCTTTTTTAAATAAGGAGACCAAAACTGCACACAATACTATGTAACCATTGGCTGTCACGTTTCACCCACAAAATATACAGTCAATCCACTTTAAGCGCTTTGAGGCGTCTCAAAGACGTGATGAGGCACTATATCAAATGCAAGGATTTTTATAACTCCAGAATGTGAAACTTCAATGGCATTACAGGTGCCCCTTCATTGATTCCGTTTCCAATGTGTAAACCTCGTCTCGTCTCAGGACTTGGCATTAGGACTGGAAGCAAGTGAATTTTGAAGAGAAGCATTCAGGAGGATAACAGGACAATACGTCCAAATGAGGGGAAGTTGCAGTGGTAACATGTATCAACACCTTGCACTTATATAGAGCCTTCCTCGCAGGGTGATGTCTCAGAGCGCTTAAACGAAGAAATAATGCCAAAAGTGTAGAAAATTATTGCAGATTTCTCGTCTTCCAGTGCCTAGCTTCTTTTCTGTCTGAACGAGCTTAGTTAATTCAGCACACACTGGGGATTGATCTGGGAACTTTACTGAGTTAGGCAAATTCAGTTTCTGTACCAGCTCAGCCATTGTGGGGTCCATTTTGCGGAACATTTACCAGTGAAGGATGGCCGATGATCTCTGACAAATTTAACAGGAAAGGCGAATTCAAGTAGAGCAAATGGCTTTACCTGACACTTAATCGCTTTGTCCAGTGGTGCCCTAGCAGAGAATATCCAATTGCAGTAGTTAGTTTGAATTCATGGTAACTCTGTAGTTTGAGTCCATGCCAATTTGGAAGCGAGCCACATATTGTTCTGTCTTGGACCACCAAGCGACTGAATCTTTCTTGTTCCTTTGCTGTCAGTGACCACCAGCTGGTATCTTTTGATTTCAGTTAATAACTTGTCTTGTTATTTCGCTGTTGCTCAGTGTCCGTTTTGCCTTCAACAGAAAGCATCTCTGGAATATCACCAGTTTCAAGGAGCTTTGGAGGAGAAGAGCAAAATTCACATTTCAATTCACCAACATCCTCCAGTTATCAGACCAGAACTTGGCAAAGTGGTAAAACAAAAGGTATGTGATAACCTGACCATTTCACTGTAGCTTTGCAGACAAATCCAGGTCACTTTTGAATTTGTAAATCTTTTGTGACCCTACTCAGTTCTGCATCCTGTTGTGTCAGTTTGGTACATTTAAAACCCACACTAGCTGCCCTTTTTCTCCAGCCTTAATCATTGAATGTTACAACACTGCAGTTTTTTCTCCACGTGATCTATATAGTTTCATCCCACTCGCTCTTTGTACCCTTCAATATTCTTTTAAAAATCTAACATTCCTTTTCAAAGGAATAACTATTTTATCCCACTCTCAGTAGGAAATTTGCAAGGATATGGGGAAAGAGCAGGGGAGTGGGACTGATCGGGTAGCTCTTCCAAAGAGCTAGCAGAGACATGATGGGCCAAATGGCCTCCTCTTGTGCCATAATGATTCTATGAAAGTTTCTGTCCTCTTGGGATCTCTCCTCAATGACATGGGTGTAATCATGAATTTGTCATGCAGTGGTTGTAGGAGAGTATTCTATTTCCAGTCCATAATGATATTGTGAACTATATTTATGAAGATACCCATTCCCACCCAACCTCTTGACTTTCTGCTGTTGGATCCATCATGCCAGTGGCAAATCCTAATCAGGGCCTTGGCACTGTTGCTCTCGAGCCAGCAGGATTTGAACAATAAATTATTTTTCGTTGGAAATTGCCTGAACTTTGACGGGTAATCTGAGTTTAGGGTCTGATAGGAGGAGTGAAAAGGAGAAATAACCCATTTCCCAAATCACTGTGTGAGTGCTTTCCTTATGAATTGTTAGCGTAATTCTCTTCCCTTACTCTGTAACTGGCTGTCGAGTGTGATTTGTAAGATATATGCATGGCAAATTTGGTTGTTTTTCTACTTTCAAGATGAGATGCACCTTTGTGCTGCTGGTCCTTTTAATTGAGAAATGTATGCAATCGAGACTGGAATCTAAGCAAAGTTCTTTGTACATATTTACTGTCATGTTACAAAATGGCTGCATTAGTTTTAAAATGGTGTCTGGGACAATGAACAAATTTAAATAACCCTATTTCTCTTTCCTCCTTTAATAGAAATGCCCATGAAGAAACGACGATTAAATGTTAAGCACGACGTAAATTTTGAACCCAAATTGAATGACTCTTCGTCTTCTCAGCTTGTGAGCACCCTGTTACTGCACAGCCATCCAGAACTGGATCAGGTATCGTGATACTACATTCCTTTCATCCATTATAATCAATACTGTAACCTTATTTCTGACTCAATATTCCCTGCATTTGATACAGTGCATATTTGACATATTGCACTAAACTCCATGACCCCATTTCTCCCACTCTCGCCCGACTCCATTGGCTCCCTATCCTTCAGAGGATCCAGTTCAAGATCCTGGTCCTCGCATACAAAGCCCTCCATGGCCTCACCCCACCCTACCTCTGCAACGTCCTAACCCCCTACCAACCCGCCTTTTCCCTCCGCTCAGCCGGCTCTGGCCTGCTCCACGTCCCCCGGCCCACCCGCTCCACCATTGGCGGGAGAGCCTTCAGCCGCTCTGCCCCCAACCTCTGGAATTCCATCCCCCAGTCACTCCGCCTCGCCCCCACCTTAGCCTCCTTCAAGTCCCGCCTCAAGACCCTCCTCTTTGACTATGCCATCAGCCACCCCCCTTCTCCTCCCCTCCCTTACCCCCCCAACCCCAGTTCAGATCTGAAATGCTGTACTCTGTTCAGCCCCTTGGGACGTCCTCCCGATGTGAAAGGCGCTATACAAATGTAATCTTGTTATTGTTGTTGTTGCATACAATATCAAACGCCTGTTTGCCTACAAACACAGTGACTGCATTTGTAGACAAATAAGGCAGCCATTTATACACAGTGAGTTCCCAGAAACAGCTATAAGATGAATGACTAATTTATCTGAGGATTGTTGACCAGGACACCAGGAGAAACTCTTCCATTTTTGAATTCATGTAATAAAATCTTCTATGTTCACCCGAATGGGTAGACTGGGCCTCAGTTTAATCAGATAATGCAGCGCTTCCTCCAGTAACTTACTGGGCGTCAGTCTATACTATGAGCTCAAAGTCCCAAACATAACAACAATAATGTAGGGTAGCGTCATGTTCAATTAAAACTACCAGTTGAAACAGCCCCCAGCTATAACAATCAGTTGCCATGTTTGAACTCAACATTTCTTAACTATGGATTTTGCTTTTTCCCCCAAACAGAACCTAAAGTTAGTTCTTCCTTCTCTAATCCTGAAAATTCTTCAAGAACAGCTGGAACTAAATAAGAGCAACGTTTACCGATCGATTCCACGGTGGCGCTTGGGTTCCAACAGAGATGCGTACTGCTTCCGAAAAGCGCATGCTCATCTTCAGGCTTTCAAGGTATGTATCCTACAATCTAGCACAGTACTAAATGGACATTCAATGAGAGGGCCTAGTCTGAAACTAAGCCTTACTGACTTAGAATATGACTGGCTCTATCACTGGGCTGTACTGAGTCTCAGTCAGGGCTACAATTTGTGTATTACAACTGACCACTTCTGATCAAGCTCAGACACTGTTAAGCGCTCTGAGCCTCTACCCCGCATGAAAGGTGCTACATAAATGCAAGTTGGTGTTGGGCCTTTTGTACAAAAACAATCAAAAGTTGTCACGTATAATTATCTGGGGCTGCCTGATGGAAAGAATGGGCATGTGACCATTGGGTACGGACAGAAAGTGTTCCAGATGATGCTTTTCTCTCCAGTGAAATGATTAATGCAAAGGATTAAAATTCCAAGAAATATAAAATAATTCACATTGCACGTAAGCAGCATGAAGACTTAGAAAGTAGAGTTACTGATCCTAAGTCTTGTTCTTTTGTGTGTTTTACAGAAAACGTGCCTGGAACAAGGGCGATTATTGTTGCAAGCAGAGTGTTGGGAAACTACAACAGACTATACATTAATTGCCTGGAGATACACAAGTGAACTTCCTCATTGGGATAATAGCTTCCATAATGAATGCACGCAGCAATGCTTTACTGCTTTGGCTGTTCAGAGCATGATTGGCTTGCAGAGAAGCTGCCTAGAATTAGAAAAGTATAAACAACTCAAGAAAAGGTATGAATACTATATAATATATATAATGTATGACAATGTGCATAAGCGATTTTCAGTGAGGTTGAGCAATGCACCTCAACCTTCTACACAGATTAGCAAAGTGAATTGTTGAGTTTAACCTTGCATCAATATATCCTACTAACTCTATTTAAATGAATATACACCTTTCTGAAAAAAATTTGAGAGCTACATTAATGCCTTGTGTAGATTGAGTGTATTCTGTGAAGCACTTTGAATGCAAGGATCATTATTATTATAGTGGTTACTGCCAATATAGCATCCATGTTGTGCTTAAAATTCAAATTAATTTGACTCTTGTGGGAAGTTTCTGGTGCACCTTGGCTGCTGCATTTGGCTATGAAACATTGTGTGTTAAACACAAGTTTATTTCCAGTTTTTCACTCCACTTTTGCATTCTTAACTTTGGTCCTGCCATCCCCATCTCAAAAAGTGTAGCCATTCTACTGGTTAACCTGGTTTATATTCTCTCCTTATTCAAATCTACCCCAGATTCAAATATATTGGCTATTTTTCTCATTGTCGCTTATTGGATGTTGCTAGTGCAGATTAGCTTTACGTTTGATAATATAATAACTTCAGTGTCTTCTGTAAACTGCCTCAAGACATTTTACATACAAAGTGCTATATGAATTAATTATTAAACATGTTTTCCGGTAACATGCTAGAACCCTAAGGGATCATGTTAGTGAGTCAAATGACACATTAATCTGAGATCCTGTCTGCTTATTCAGGTGGACATTAAGGATCTCACAGTGCTATTAGAAAAGAGAAGGGCGTTTTCCTGGCCAACAGTTCTCCAGATAAAACTGGTCATTCACATCACAGCTGTCTGAGGACACCACATCAACTAAACATTCTAGTCACTACACTTTACAGTATATCCTATGAAATGCTATGAGACAACTTCCTGATGTGAAAAGTGATACATCAAATGTGGGGATGTGATAGTAGTAGTTGTAACTGCCTTAATGGTAGTACATCTGACAATCATTTGTGGTGCTGATAAGTAGCATAGACAGGCTCTAATAGTATAGTAGTTATTCTTGTTTATGGCACATGTACCTTAAACTTTAACAGTACAAGAATACAAGAGGAAAGTGGTGGTTTGACCGGATTCACTTGCTTATCCTTTCAACTTACACTTTTGCATACAATATAAGTGAATCCAGGCTTGAGCCTGTAAGTAACTTTTTCTACTTTTCAGGTTTCAAGTGGCATGTACACAGAACAAATTGATGAAACCCTGCCTTCAGCAGCTGGAGGGGATTGTGAAGGATTTGGAGTACAGTGGCCCAAAACCAGAATCCATCTCATCTACCTGTTGATGGTTGGAAAGACTTGAATGTTTTGGGATAAAGATAAGAAAAGCAGCCTGCATGCTGGCCTGTCCGCAGTAAGAAGATCCCGATGACCAATTTGAAAGTGGCAACTGAGTTAGGGCCCGTGCATTGCACGGAGCCCCGAAAGAATGGGTTTTGTTCAACTCGCAGTTGCATTGTTTTTAAGGAGAAAGGTTAGGGGCATCTTGACGAGGGGTACTTGAATAATATTGAAAGGTTTTGTCTGCGGATATTTTGCAAGCTGCAATGTTTTTCCTAATGCTCAGATCGGAAGCTATTGACGAGAAAAATGAATGTGGAAGAAAATTCTTGACAGACACTTTCTTCTCACAAGGTACGCTGGCAAGAGAATTGAATTTGGAATTGGAAGAAGAGAGCCACTATGGGATCTTACCTAAAAACACTGAAACTGCATAGCTTGCTTGTGTTAGCCTTTGTGAGACTGATTTCAGGAATATTAGCAATCAGCTCTACGAATCATTCCTCTGTACATCTCTGAAGCTTTAATCATATTCCAACTTCATGGTTTTTTTACAATTCAGAATGTGCATGTTTTTACATTTGAATGGACTTTGCATGAAGTTTATAGAAGACCTTTTTAAAGAAGTTTACAATTATAATTTTTTTAAAAAAGTAAAGAGATAGGTTATTTAATATTCATTCCATTTCTTTTAGAATAATAAATTACACCGAATGTTTAACTGTGGTAGAATCAAAGGTAGGTAAAATTTATAATCATCAGTACAACACAAGTGATTTAGTGCAACAGCAATGTTAGTGACAATTGCACTTTAACAAAGTACTATTTTACTATGCTAAGTTTTCTGGTATAAAATCCTCAGATTGTTGCCAGAATGAATCCCGATGACTTGGCTTTGGAGCAAATACGTTGCATTTCACATTTTGTTACTAATACTGCAGGTGATTGAACCATTTCCCTCCTTTAAAGTAATCGCCTGAATTCTGTAAATGGAATGTATTTATAATAATACCAAAACCAGTTCTTAATATAACATAGCACAGCTGTACCAATTTGCTGATCAGGGGGACATTTTGTACTGGGTATATTTTAAAAGCTTCTTTTTGTAAATGTAAAAAATGTTTTGGACGAATGTTTAAAGGCTTTTGGCAAATAAAGTGTGATGTGAATACGGAAACGTGTTTTTCGAAATCCCCAAACACAACCTCAAAAAAAAATTGATATATATATAGCTGTCTCTGGGAAATGCTTTGCGATGTCTTTGTGCCAGGAAGATGTTGCAAAGCATTCCCCAGAGCCAGCTGGAAGCCCAAGCCGGATTGGGAGTTCTCTACATATCTAAATCTGTTCCTTTTTTTTCCCCCCATTGTGCAAACCTCCGAGTGCAATGTTTAGGTCTGTTTTATTTTCAGAATCAAGGCTCGGGCATGGTTGGTATGATCCAATTTGTGCTCTTATGAGACTACTTCTTAACTGAATAGACTACTTTACAATCTGCTTTTAGGAAATGTCTAAGTGCTGTCTTCCATTACTTACCCCATGAGAACTAGAATACATCTCTAAGTGGATTGTTAAAAAGTGATGCTTGATATCTGCATGTTAAACAATTTTGTTTAATGCTGTAAATCTGTGCAGTTTTCCAGACAAACAACCCAATCCCCATATTCAACTAAAGTTGTGAATGAGTTAGACAGCAGTTACACTATGAAATATATCCCATAAGTATTCAGTTTCCTGCCATGGATTCTGTGTCGGGCAAGCGGGTCTTCAGCCTCTCTGCCCCCACCCTCTGGAATTCCATCGCACAGTCCCTCCGCCTCACCTGCTCCTTTGCCTCCTTCAAGATCCGTCCTCAAGACCCTCCACTTTGACTGTGCCTTTGGTCACTCTCCTACCCTCCCCGCCTTCCACCCCTCCTAACTGTCTAGTGCCTTGGGAGGTCCTCCTGACATGAAAGGCACGATAGAAATGTAATTTGGTGTTGCAATCGTGGGCTGTGAAATTACTGCAAATCCAGAATAATTTTTGTATATTCATATTACCTTGCTGTACTTATTAGGGAGGCAGAAAAACAATGAGATCATACACTTGGCTCAGAGCCCAGCCTTAGATAGCCTTGTGTGTATTAATATTTAAATGATTATTGTTTTTCTCCCCACAATGCTTTGTATGTTTTTTTGCTTTCTAATTCTTGCAAAGGAGTGTAAACTTGGTCCAGGGGGTAGCACTCACCCTCTAGGCTAGAAATATGTGTTCAAGCCCCAGCTCAAAACCTTTCAGCTCATAATTTGGTCCAACAATCGGATGCAGTCATACTTGTTTCATTTGATATAACACTTTTATCATGTCTTTGAGATGTCTCAAAGCTTTTCACTGTGAAGTGAATTGACAGTGTATTTTGTATTTTGTGGGCAAAACGCTGCAGCTGATTGCATACAGCAGTGTCCCACAGTCGTAGATTGAGTGACCAAATTATTTTTTTTTGTTAAGAAATCCCTGCAATTTTTGGCAAATATTTCCGCACTTTTCTATTGGCCCTGCCCATCACCATGCTTAAGAGTATCCGAACCAAGCTACTGAGAGTTCCACATATTCATCAGAATTTCTGTGTCTGGAATAAAGTGTACAAATTGCCAGACTGCACTCTGCTCATCTAATCCTGAAATGTATCATGCACGTGAGGGTAAGAGCCTATGTTTGCGGATCCCAGAGTGTGTGTTTTGGGGAGTGGGGAAGAGAGCACAACTGCTGGAGTTCAGACAGTTAAATCCGCATAGCTTTCCTTTGAAAGCACTATCTGGTACATTTTCTCATTGCTTGTCCAGCTAGGACTACAACAACAACTTGCATTTATATAGCATCCTTCATGCAGGGAGGGCAGTGTCCCGGACCGCTTGACTACGCTACTTATTACAGCTGAGTGAGAGGAGTCCCAGCCCACAGCGACTGATCTGCCCTTCTAAGTCCTGCCAATGCACCAGTTTGGCTGGGCTGCCAACAGCAGTGCCCTAGAGTACTCTGACATGCAAGAGCTTGACTACTGAGACCATCACAGAGAGTTGGCTTGATTCTGACATTCTATTTCCAAACAATAATAATAGGAAGAATCCTTGCACTTGATATAGCACCTTATCATGTCACAAGACATCTCAGGACGCGTTTCACAGGATATCCTGGAAAGTGGATTGCCGGTGTGTTTTGTGGGCGAAACACGGCAGCCAATTATGCACACTGATGTGCAACAAACAACCATGGAATGGGTGACCAACTTTATTTGGGGGATTGTTAGCCAGGAGACCGGGAGAGAAACATCCTTCTCTTTTCGAATAGTGCCATGGGATCTTTAACATTGACTTGAACAGGCGGCCGGGACCTCTGTTTAACTTTTCATCCAAAGGACGCCACCTCCAAAAAGGCAACACACACCTCCAGCACTGCAGTGGAGCATCTTAATCTATTGTGTTTCCAAGTCCCGACATGGGGGCTCTCGTTCACTTTTGATGCTTTTATTTTGGAACTATGGGTTTTCTAGGCAGAGAGACTTGTTTGAACCTACCTTGTCTGTAGAGTCCTGTAGCATATTGGTTAGAGCACTCGCAGAGAGGACTTGGGTTCGATTCCCGGGCAGGGCGAAATGTGAGGCAAGTTTCCTTACTCCACGACTCCTCTGATTACCTAGCAGCAAGTAGGAACCCGGTTGTTAGTCGATTTGCGGATCGCTTTTTGCGGGTGTAATAATCCCTTCGAATAAATAAAACAATAATCTGGTCGCTCCAATCCACGAGCGTTTGTGTGGGGAAACGGCGGGTGCAGCAATTGGCTGCCGCATTTTGCCCACAAAAATACACGGTCAACTCACGCATTCGTCGCATCGAGGCTGGATTACTGGAACTCCCTCCTCATCGGCCTTCCCAACTCTTCCCTTCACAAGCTGCAGATCATCCAAAACTCTGCAGCTCGTGTTCTCTCACGCACCAGGCTCCGCGACCCCATCGCTCCCACCCTCGCCCGACTCCACTGGTTCCCCATCCCCCAGAGGATCGAGTTCAAGATCCTTGTCCTCACCTTTAAGGCCATCCACGGCCTTGCCCCCTCCTACCTCTCTGACCCGCTGACTCCCTACCAACCTGCCCGCCCCCTCCGTTCAGCGGGCTCCGGCCTGCTCCATGTCTCCCGCCCGACCCGCCCTACCATCGGTGGCCGGGCTTTCAGCCACTCTGCCCCCACACTCAGAAAATCCATCCCCACGGTCCCTTGGCCTCGCCTCCTCCTCCTTTGCCTCCTTCAAGGCCGGTCTCAAGACCCTCCTCTTCGGTCTCCCTCCCACCTCTCACCTCGGGACGTCCTCCCGACGCGAAAGGCGCTCTCTAGATGCAATTTTGCCGCTGCCGCCGCCGCTGCCGCCGTCGTCGTCGGAGCGCTTGGAGACGTCTCGAAGACGTGATAAGGTGCTGTATCCAATGCGAGGATTATTATTATTTTTATTATTATTATTATTATTATTATTGAACCCGCAACCTTCTGACTCCGAGAAACCGGCTGCGAAAGGCGCTCCAGAAAGGCAGTGTTGTTGTTGTTGTTGTTACCACTGAGCCACACTCGTCAGCTTAGAGCCTGATTCCCCCTCTCCACCTCCTCCCTCTCCCCCTCTCTTATCCCTCACTGACGGCGAACCCAAAGCTTTCAAATCTCCCGCGTCCTGAGCGCTTCACAACTGCCGTAAAAACAGGCGGAGATTTTTTTTTTTTTTTTTTTTTTTTTTTTACGACACCGTGTGCGAGGGGCGGGAGGGAGGGGGAAGGTCGTCACAGTTTGCGGCAATCGGCGGCGGACGTGGAAGCGGACGCTGCAATGGCGGAGGCGGAGGAGCGGGAGCGGGAGCCGCTGGCGGGCGGCAGTTGGTGAGTGTCGGCCACAGTCGTCGTCGTTCGTCCCCCGTGAGAGAGAGAGAGTGACACATAGCCACAGGCGGCTGTGCTGCGGATGAGGAGCACCCGGGGGTGTGTGTGAGGGTGTGTGTGTGTGTGTTTGTGTGTGTTTGTGTGTGTGTGTGAGGGTTGTGTTTGTGTGTGTGTGTGTGTGAGGGTTTGTGTGTGTGAGGGTTTGTGTGTGTGAGGGTTTGTGTGTGTGAGGGTTTGTGTGTGTGAGGGTTTGTGTGTGTGTTTGTGTGTGAGGGTTTGTGTGTGTGTTTGTGTGTGAGGGTTTGTGTGTGTGTTTGTGTGTGTGTGTGAGGGTTTGTGTGTGTGTTTGTGTGTGAGGGTTTGTGTGTGTGTTTGTGTGTGTGTGTGAGGGTTGTGTGTGTGTTTGTGTGTGTGTGTGAGGGTTTGTGTGTGTGTTTGTGTGTGAGGGTTTGTTTGTGTGTGAGGGTTTGTGTGTGTGTCTGTGTGTGTGTGTGTGAGAGGGTTTGTGTGTGTGTTTGTGTGAGGGTTTGTGTGTGTGTTTGTGTGTGTGTGTGTGTCTGAGGGTTTGTGTTTGTGTGTGTGTGTGTGTGAGTGTTTGTGTGTGTGTGTGAGGGTTT